CCACATAACTTCTAGTAGCGGTTGGAGCTACACTGCGCATTTATTGTGCATCGCTCTCCCAACCAACCGTTACAGTATCAACTCTAGTTTAGATGCTTATTATTGTTTATTATTGTTTATTATTTGCATTTACGTACGTATGTTGCTTCTACGTGATATATTTTTGTTACAGAAATCATATTTAGATATATACATTTCATATACTCTAAGCATTATTTGCTGTGAAAGAACCCATGCGAATTATATCAATTAAAAATAACATCCACACGACTTCGAATTTACAGTTTTGACCAGATGAGCAAAAATTTTTTTTCACAATTTCGAAATCAGTTTCCGTTTCCGAATCACATGTCCGCCAGAATTTTTAAATCTATTTGGTGTTCAATAATTTAATCATGATATAAATCTTCAATTTAGCTGCAAAACATAGATAGACTAGACTTTTTAGAGCATATTTCCTTATTTCTATTTATAGCCTTTTTAATTAACTGATTTAGTAAACTTTGTTCTAGTTTCATTATTTTCATTTTTTTTTTAAATAAAAGTTGCCGTTTTTTTGTGTTCATTAGTTTTGAGAAAAATACCTAATAAGTCAATGAACTTATGAATAAAATAATGAAGAAATTGAAGACGAAATCATGATCACGAATGAAGAACTAAAACGTAAAAGAAAATATTGTTAGTTTCTTTTTTTTTTGTAAACAAATATGTTGAAATTTACGAAGAACTTCGTAAAAAAATTTTTTTCACGAGAAAACCGAAAAAGGAAGGAAGATAAAAGCGCACCTTTAATGCATGCATTAAGTACATCAACTCCAAAAATTGATGTTCGGATAATCGTTTTATAATTTCTTAATGAAGTACAACATACTTTTATAACGCTTAATAAGGTTTTTTTAGAATAAAGAATTCTTTTTCCACTTTTGAAGAAAAAAAATGAATATTGGTCAATCTACTTTTAACGTAAATGAAACAAATTTAAATGCTAAAGCGTTTTATAACAAGGGTCAGCAGTATGAATATGGTTACGGCGGTGTTGAGAAAAATTTACACAAAGCTTTCGAATATTATTATAAAGCCGCCGAACTAGGTGACGCTGATGGAATACGTGTAGTTGGATATTGTTATGAAAAAGGAATTGGGGTTGAAAAGGATGAACATAAGGCATTCATTTATTATCAAAAATCTGCTGAGATGGGTAATGCTCTTGGAATAAATAATCTTGGATATTGTTATGAAAAAGGAATTGGAGTTGAAAAAGATGAACATAAGGCATTCATTTATTATCAAAAATCTGCAGAGATGGGTAATGCTGACGCAATAAATAATGTTGGATATTGTTATCAAAAAGGAATTGGAGTTGAAAAGGATGACAATAAGGCATTCATTTATTATCAAAAATCTGCCGAGATGGGTAATGCGTTTGGAATCAATAATCTTGGAACGTGTTATGGAAATGGAATTGGAGTTGAAAAAGATGAACATAAAGCATTTATTTATTGTCAAAAATCTGCTAAGATGGGTAATGCTTACGCAATAAATAAGGTTGGATATTGTTATGAAAAAGGAATTGGAGTTAAAAAGGATGAGCGTGAGGCATTCAATAATTATCAAAAATCTGCAGAGATGGGGAATGCTGACAGAATATTTCAGGTTGGATATTGTTATTTTAATGGAATTGGAGTTGAAAAGGATGAACATAAGGCATTCATTTATTATCAAAAATCTGCTGATATGGGTAATGCTGACGCAATAAATAATGTCGGATATTGTTATCAAAAAGGAATTGGAGTTGAAAAGGATGACAATAAGGCATTCATTTATTATCAAAAATCTGCCGA